AAAGAGCGCCGCGTCATTACGGAGCAAGTAGATGACATGCTTAAACGTGGAGTTGTACAGCCTTCTCAAAGCGCTTGGTCATCACCTGTGCTTCTGGTAAAGAAAAAAAATGGCACCGTTTGACTTTGCGTGGACTATCGCTGCTTAAACAAGATTACAAAGGAAGATGTCTACCCGCTACCACGAATAGACGATGCTCTTGACTGTTTACAAGGCGCCGAGTACTTTACATTCTTGGATCTGCGTTTTGGGTATTGGCAGGTTTCAATGGCTGAATGTGATCGCCCTAAAACAGCCTTTGTAACGCTGGATGGCCTATATGAGTTCAAAGTCATGCCATTTGGGCTCTGCAACGCACCTGCGACGTTTGAGCGCATGATAGATATCATATTGCGTGCCCACAAGTGGAACACTTGCTTGTGTTACCTAGATGACATCGTAGTCTTTTCAGCTGATTTCCCGACACATCTTCGTCGTCTCCACGAGATTCTGACGTGTCTAGCTTCTGCAGGCCTACAACTTAACCCCAAGAAGTGCCACTTCGCAGCCCGAAAACTAACCATCTTGGGACACGTCATCACAAGAGACGGTGTTCTTCCGGATCCCGATAAGCTTCGAGCTGTCGCTGAATTCCCAATGCCTACATCACTGAAAGCCCTAAGAAGTTTCGTTGGTTTTTGCTCTTACTTTCGTCGCTTCGTGCGCAACTTCGCGTCCATCATCGCACCTCTGACTAGTCAGCTTTCCAACAGCAAAGGTATATCTGCATGGTCACCTGCATGTGATGACGCATTTCGCCAGCTGCGCTGCCTGCTCACCTCACCACCTATTCTTCACCACTACGACCCCAATGCTGCCACAGAAATTCACACTGATGCAAGGGGCGTTGGCCTTGGCGCAGTTTTTGCACAACGGAAAGGCACCCAAACCGAATACGTAGTCGCTTATGCAAGTCGCGCTCTCAAGAAGGCTGAATTGAATTACTTCGTGACAGAGAAGGAGTGTTTGGCCATAATCTGGGCGGTGACGAAGTTTTGCTCGTACGTTTACGGCCGTCCTTTCGACGTGGTCACAGACCATCACGCTCTATGTTGGCTATCCATTTTGAAAGACCCGTCCGGACGTCTGGGGCGTTGGGCACTTCGATTGCAGGAATACGACACCCATGTCGTATATCGTTCCGGTCGCAAGCATGCGGACGCCAATGCACTTTCCCGATCGCCATTAACGCCAGATGTGGCTGCTCTGTCACCCCCTTTTACCACCTTGTCACCACTCGACACCACTGACATGCTTTCGGAGCAGCGTAAAGACCCCTACCTTGCCTTGTTAGTCGACTACCTTACCGATCCGTCTGCTGTCCCTTCCACGAGAACACTACGCCGGCAAGCAGCCCACTTTTCCTTGCGATACAACATTCTGTACCGCCGCAACTACATGCCTGGTGGTCGGAAGTGGCTCCTTGCTGTCCCAACTCATATGCGCTCTGACATCTGCATGAATTTCCCTGCAGATCCCCAAAATGCTCACGCAGGTGTCCTGAAAACCTACGAAAGGCTGTGCCAACGATATTACTGGCGAGGAATGTATCGCTTTGTGCAGAAATACGTTCAGTTCCTTGCACCACTTGCCAATAGAACAAGACACCTCCGCGGCACCTTACTGGCATGTTACAGCCGCTCCCGTGCCCGGCTCGCTCATTCGACCGCGTGGGTATTTGGGTATTGACCTCTATGGCCCCCTCCCATATAGTAGCTTGGAAACCGGTGGATTATTGTCGGAGTCGATCATCTGACACGCTACGCTGAGACTGCAGCTCTACTGGCAGCGACCGCCCACGAAGTTGCACTCTCATTCTCTGCAGCTTCATTCTACGCCATGGTGCTCCGCGGGAATTACTCAGTGATAGGGGTCGAGTGTTCCTGTCGGAGGTCATCCAAGCTATCCTCGCTGAATGCAACATCATCCACCGGAAATCTACCGCATACCATCCCCAGACAAATGGTCTCACTGAGCGGTTCAACCGCACGCTTGGCGACATGCTGAGGATGTACACCTCCTCCGACCACACTAACTGGGACGCTGTGTTGCCTTTTGTTACCTTCGTTTATAACACCGCGACGCAAGCAGCTACCGGTATTTCCCCGTTCTTTCTATTGTACGGCCGCGAACCTTCCCACCCACTCGGCACTATACTCCCGTATCGCCCTGATGCTCTGAGTGCTTCCCGCTCTCGGAAGTCCCCAGATACGCTGAAGACTGCCGTCAGTTGGCTCGGTCTCTGACAAGTGAGGCTGAAGGTCTACAAAAGACTCGACACAATGACGTTCAACACATAGCTCCTACGTTTCGTGCTGGCTTCCTTGTGGGGCTTTGGGTGCCCCCGCACGTTCCTGGCCTGTCTTCTAAATTTCTGACCCGGTACCATGGTCCGTACCGTGTCATTGACGCGACCTCCCCGGTGAATTACATCATCGAGCCATTAACACAATCCCCAGATTTGCGCCGTCGAGGACGCGAGACCGTACACGTCGACCATCTCAAGCCCTACTACGACCCACTCATTGTGGCTACTCCCTGAATTGCCAGGATGGCTACCCTTCACCCCGGGGGTATTGTAGTGGAGCATACGCACCAACGCGTATGCGCCTTCGGAAGATAACGAAAAGCCCCATGCTCTGCTTGCGCGAGAGTTTGTGCCGCCTTTGCCAGACTTGCCGTACGCCCATTTTCCGTCGCGACCTCGTTGCGACTTCTGTGCTCGAATAAACGTCATCACACCCAGACTATATGCGAGTCATAGCTACATGCGGACTTTCACGGTACACTCAGACTTCATTGTAACAAAGTTACACGAAAATACATCATTATATCCGAGAATTATTGTAAAGGTACATTCCTAACACTATCAATTACAAGTCTTCTTTTATTAACTTCGTCATAAGTGGTATTTTATGATATCTGGGTTCGTTATATTGAGGCTTCAGTGTAAATGGAAAATTAGTATATGGGGACAAAATATGACTTTCTGCCAGTTCGAATGTAGCACCCAACCTTCACCTTATAGATTTAGTGCTGTGCCAAATGATCCTTGGTAGCAGGAATTTTCAACACTGCCATCATCATCATGATCATCTTTCGTGGACTGTTGAGTCTACTGCTGGACGAAGGCCCCTCCCAGTGATCTCCAGTTTACCCTATCATGAGTGAGACGATTCCATTTTATCCCTGTCAAGTTTTTAAACTTTGTCAGTTACTCGAGTGAGTCTTCGATGCATTCGCAACCATTCTGTTGTTCTTACTGTGCACTGGTTCTGTTCTGCGCATTACATGGCCAGCCCAGATTTGTTTCTTTTGCTTGATGTAAACTAGGATATCCGCAGTCTCGAGGCGGAACACTCTCACAGGCGTCGCCCGTAGAAAGGCAAATGAAGCTGAGTGGGGCCTGAGGTGAAGGTTGCGTGGTGCAACACCCGAAGTGATAAGTCTGGTGTACAAAATGTTAGAACGATCAATAATTGAGACAAAAACTTCATCTAATTAAGACAAGAACTACATCAAGCTACGCGAGATATAAAGCTTGTAGCTTACAAAACCTTCGTTAGACCACTACTAGAATATGATTCAGTTATGCGGAGTCCTCATGAAGACAGCCTGAAAACAAACTTAGAAAAAGTACAACGCCGTGCCGTCCGCTTCATATGCACGAATCACCGCCGGTTAGATTCTATCACGCAGATGTTTCTGTGAACTGGAATCACTTGAGGTACGAAGACAAAAGAACCGGTTGAAAGCTCTTTTCAGGATACTGCAAGGACAACTAAAGATTAAAAAAAATTTGTACTTAAAAGTGCCAGGGAAACGAAGCAGTCAAGTTAATCACAGCTGTGTGTTAGTACCGTACTCTTGTCGAAGTTACGTGTTTCATTATCTTTTTTCCAGCTGCGATTGAGCTTTAAAATGTGTTGCCAGGCATTGTAGTAATTGCAAGCGATCTTTGCCAATTCGAAAAATTGTTGTACATGTATTTGAGTGATGGAGCTGCCAGATGATTAGCCTGCATTTTCCTTGGTTTGAGTCTCTGTTTTCTTTCTCCCAGCTGTGTTTAAGCCTTGTAGTGCGTAGCCAGGCATTGCTATAAATGCAGGCAGTGTTTGCCTATTTGATAAAGTGTTACACATGTATAATTGATTGCACTACTACGTGACATAGATGTATATTGATTGGTTTGTATTTGGTTGTACCCTCCCTGTAAGAGCCCTCAGGAGAGAGCTGACAGTATTATGAAATCAATAAAATAAATAAATAAAATAATTTAAGGTAGTATGGGACCCCGCACTGCTGCTAACTGATATAAACACGACAAAGTTCAAAGGATGGCTTCCAAGTTCATATTCAATAAATATCAATGCATGCATTTTGCTTCCAAACTTTGCGACCATGCAAACCTTAGAACTTAAAGCTAATTTTGGTTCACTGCGCTCTACGTGGTCCTAAACTCTTCTCTGGTTGTTTCATTGTCCTAAACGTGGAACTCTTGGAGTGTTAGTCAGTGCCTCCCGTTGGCACGTAAGTGAGTGTGCAATGTTCTCTTTGCCAGGTAGGATATGTGCGCGTAAGAAATGATTGGCCATATGGCCACCTGTAGGAAACATCTGTTGATGATTGAAGAAATGAGTTATTGGTAATTCCTTATTGATGAGGTGCAGCACTCATTAGACAAGCCCGACAAGACGGTAGCGCTTGTTTACATCTAATTAGTGCTGTACCTCGTCACTGGTGCCATTTGATGGTAAAGAGTGTTTCACATTACCTAGGCAAGACTGTGTGTTATGCTCTGTGGGTTACATATACAGAAACAGATTGCATGGATAAAACAATGGGTCTTGCAATAAGCACGGTTTTTAAAGCATTGCATGTGTAGTGCTAAGATTGTGGGATGGGTCTTTACTGATTGGAAACCTTTAGATCCACTTTCCTTTCCCTTTACTTCATAATCGATGACCCTTCAGGTAAGTGTCACTAATAGCTGCCCCCTGTGCCTTCTTTGTCTCCATTACCTGTCGGCTATATGCAGTAGCCTAACAGTCGTATGCGAAATACTGTGCATGTTCAGATTCCCTTCAGGGCTTATTATAAAACATGTTATTCCTGTGCAGACTTTCACTTCTCTCAAAGTTGCCCAACTTGTGCTCTGCAGGTGTTTGTGCAGTGCACCGAGATGCGCAGTCCGCACGTGCAGCACAAGGGACCGCCCAAGAAGACGGTCATCACAGGCACGGTCCTGGTCACCAAGTGCCCCTGCGTGCACCCGGGTGACGTGCGCAAGTTCACCGCGGTCGACGTGCCTGAGCTCCACCACGTCATCGACTGCATTGTGTTCCCGGCGCATGGACCTAGGCCGCACCCCGAGGAAATGGCCGGTGAGCCTTCGTTTCATGACTGCTAACTTCAATCTTGCCATTAGCAGGTTCCATAGCATCTGACTGATAAAGCCTGAGGAGATAGGTGGCTAATCGCACTTTGTGATCATGCTTAATAATCACAGTGCCGCTGTCTGTTTCCTTCTTTTCTTGTCCCTCATCATCGGTGCTGTTTATGTGAATAATAATCGTTGGGGTTTTATGTATTGAAACCATGATATTATTACGAGGAACGCTGTAAGGGAGGGCCATAGAAATTCTGGCTACCCGGAGCTGTTTAACATGTGTGTAAACTAGGGTATACGAGCCTTTCAAGTTTCACCTCTGTGAAAATGTACTGTAAAAACTGAAATATAGGTTTGATCGCAATATGAGTCAACCCCGCCAACTTTTAATCTCTGAAAAAGAAATTTTCAAATATCGCATAGTATCACCGCTCACCCTTATCTTGGTAAATACGCAACACAACCAGTTGCACTCTGGTGACATTTTTTTTATTTGGACACTAATCTTGTGTAGTTAAACGCCAAAGGCCTTAAAGTGCTGTCACTCAGACTTGTCCAACTTGAGTCCGACGTCTGTTTTCACTAGTAACGTCCCAGAGTGTGTCGTTTTCTGTTATATTCTATGCGTTACTGATGCGGCATTTGCGGAAAGACGAAATATGCCGCCTCAATGCAAAACCCTTCTGCTTCATAAATCGGCACACCGACGATTGCGATCTCTCGAATTGCACCCTCATAAACCCAGAGTTGCGCGCTATCTCGAGAGCTTTTATGCGGATGCAGCCCGCTGTTACGGGTAGAGACCTTGCACGCAGCTCCTGGACGAATTCGGCTAGTAGGGTTTCCAGTTTGGGGTGCACTGCAGTCCGTCCATGAAACAGCTTTTTTTTTGGTTGTTTCAAAATGTCACGCTTTGCTTTTGGCTTCTCTTATATTGGATGCTTTTCTCCGATGCACCGAATTCCCATTGCGTCGCCAGGTTGCCGTGCGCTTCAGCATACTCATAACAATTTTCTTAAAGCCTATCAAGAACTGCTGTCGACTACCACTCACTTTTGAAGGAAATACTAGAAAAATGAAAACAGCAGACTGACAGCAGATAACCGAGGCAATATGGCATTGCTAGAACACTGTAGACCTTACCTAGCTTTGCCTAACGGCACCTCTGCTGATGCTCACGATGGCAATGGAGGCTTTTGACTTCAGCTGCCCATTGTTGCGAGACTTCCACATTTTTTTCTGCCAATGACTGGTATATAAAACAAGGGTTGACCTTTCATTGCGTTTTCTTGAAAAAAAAATGTGACCTATATTCCGCTTTTTACGGTAATCAAAAAGTGTAATTGGGTCTCACGACCTCAGGGTTCGCACTTCAGCACCACAACCACTCGACCACCGCGGCAGATCTTATTAATCGCAGTGCTTCTGTCTATACAGTACCTGTTAATAAAATTAAATGAAATTTAGAAGAATAAAACTGCAATAAATATATTATCGTATCCATCCACAACCAGCTCACACGGGCGGTAAGCTTTTCTAGTCACACCTGTCTGCTTCAGATGCATCAACAGATAGTTAAGAGGATATTGATATCATATTTCTTTTACTGCCATGTCACAGATTTTATTTAATGTTACCGACCTTAGCAGCATTCTCGAAAAAGCTTGAGAGGTTGAATGAAAATTTAGATTCCCTTGTTGAATACAATTACGTATTGAAATTCATTGAATTTGAGAGGTGTGCAAATATTCGAAAGTTTGGAATACTTCAAGTAACTCGAATGTTCGATCTTTTCAAATATTTGGTCGCATATGTTACTGCAACCAACTTCCAATTTTGAGCCTTTACGATAAGTGCATCAACTGTAGAACATGCAGTAATTACTGCAAGCTTGGCTCAAGCGCTATGATGGCTGCATGGAAATGCACTGGAGCGTAATGACGGCTGTTAACGAACGTGCCGGCACATCATCGCAACAAATCTGCCAGCAATAAAAATCTTAAAGAATGTAGGTAGGTTGTGACCTGCCTCCTCGGCCGTACGTGTGGCTTAGGGGTCTAGCGCTGTTACCGCTCACGTAAGCGTACTGCAGGTGTACCAAATGCGTGCTGTTACGCTGCGGCGCCCATGTGCGCGGGACCGCTTCGTGCATTGGTCGTGAAAATCAAGGCGACTCGCTGAAGTTGCATTGGCCTAACAAAGTACTCGTTGCATCTTTGCACGGTCCTGAGCTGATAGAGCAAAGAAAAATATGTCACAGCATAAGAGCAAAAATACACACACACATAGAGAAAAAATTGGCCCCGTATCTGCATTTAATCTGCAAATGTCGTTTCAAGACGATAGTCTTGCGTGTGGAGAGAGTGAAGAAGACATTTATTTGATGTTCTGCGCAAGAAAATCGGTGAATGGTATTCTGGAGGCGCTGCGTTGCAGTGCCGCGAGCTGTAGTGGAGGCGAACGAGCACATCAAGTCACGTCACACATGAGACATGACCGCCTTCTGGCAGTTTTTTTCAAAAAAAAGCGCGTGGCTCTGAGACGGGTGTGCGCGCCTGCCTCAGAGATGATAAGGTGTAGAACGCAAGGCGACGGGTAGGTGCCACCACCGTCGGAAAGGAGAGCGTTTCCAACGCTCTCCTTTCCGTGCAAGCGTTGCACGGCCAGCAGAGCATGATAAGCGCTACGGTCCTTAGTATTACTTATGTATGCCTTTTCTAGTAAAAGAGGAACATGCAGAATATATACGTGTTGTTATGGTGCCTCAGATATGCGCACTGATTGCTTTTAATTGACAATCACACGCGTATAAATGTTGATTCCTGAGCAACATTGGTGGTCGCTGCGGATAGGGTCGGCCGTATGGGGTATCGGCTGGTGATGTTTAATGTACCCAGCCCGCGGTAACGGTGGACAAACAGACAAATGTACAGACAGACCAAAGTTTTTGTGTGAAAAGTCTCCAAGAAATACTATAGTCGCCGATAATTTCCCGTTCTTTCTGTGACACCCGATATGGATGCTGGCATATAGGCCTCGTGTCGTCTTGCGTTATAATTCTGTGTTTCGTGATTGACGTGCGCTGGACCTTCGAGGTACTTGAAAAGCAATCGGAGAATTCTTTTACCAAGGCGTAAATCTGTTTCTTCTGACTGTCCGGAAGGCTCTGATTGACGGTCACGGATGTGTCGATGTTGCAGGCCACTGGTCGAGTGGTTGATGTCGTTAAGCTGCATAGTTCGGTCGCCATACAGAAGTCGTGTAAATAGGCGATAGCGGTGCCTTGAGCGATGCGTTGAAGCTCATTGGAGAAATTTGTGAGTAGGACATCTGCACGGCCATTCGTCAAGTGAACAAGACCCCTAGCTACGCAGACACCTTTGTTCAAAAACAGTCCTACATTTGTATCCGCTATGCCTTCGCGGTTGTACAATGCATCATTTTCTACGAGCACCATTATACTGCAGCGTGGCGGCACAGTTACGTCATCATGAACAACGCGTAGAGCAGTTAGGCGTCGTTTCTCAGATTCCTCCACAGGTATAGCTCGTTCAGTCGAAAACGACACGCTGGACCTACGCAGGTTAATTACGGCGCCATTAGCTCGCAAAAAAATCTATTCCTATAATGAGTTCTCTTGAACATTCTGGCAGCACAATGAAATCGGCCACGTAAATAAAGCCCCGTATTTCAAGTCTTGCAGTGCATCTGCCAAGGGGCGTAATAATGTGACCGCCTGCCGTGCGTATCTGCGATCCACTCCACTGTGTCACAACTTTGTTTAGCTTTTTCACCATCTTGTGACTTATCACTGAATAATCAGCACCGGTGTCGACTAAGGCATTCAGCTCCCATCCTTATATTCTCAACCGCAAATCTGAAGTAACGTTTTCGTTGCTGCACCCATCTACCGGAAATACACCGTCATCACTCTCAAACCAAATTGGAGGATCTTCGTAACTGACGTTATCAGCGGCCTCACCTCCACAGGTCGCTTGCTTCAGTTTTCCGGGTGTGGACTTGGAGAGCGATGACCAGGCTGCCTTGAAGGTGTACGTGGGCTGGATGACCGGTAGCGCATAGGCGATGGTGACCGTGACCGGTGTTGGCGTAGAGGTGGCGAGTTCTGGCGCATGGACAAGTACTCCTCAATCTCCGCTGGTCGTTCGCCGTTTCGGGGGCACGGTGCATACGACGGGAAGCCTCTTAATCCAGCCTGTCGGTGAGGACAGAATCTGTACAGATGACCCGCTTCCCCACAATGAAAACACAGAGGCCTGCGCTCGTGATCACGCCACACGTCACTTTTCCTGGGCCTACGCTCCACATAGTGATGTGTGCTACGTGCTCCTGGGGCAGATAGGTAGCTGTTGGTCCCGTGGACGAGGTGCGCTGCGTGCCGCAGGTGGGAGAGGAGTCGTCGCCATCGCAACTGCTGCATTGCTGTGTACCGTGGGTTGTCTGACAACCTCAGAGTATGTTCGCATAGGTCGAACAAGCTGCAGCTCACGCTCTGGCTCTCGTATTACCTGCCTCAGTTCGTCACGAACAACTTCCGTAACAGATAGTGCAGTTGGAGTCTGGGGCATTTGCAGTCTGCTCAGTTCTTCTCTAATAACTGATCTAATGAGCTTTCGCAGGGCTTCAACGTCGTTTCGCACGCCTACAAAGAATATCTGTGCAGATGCGCAGTTAAGATTCCGGTTGTACTGCCGAGCCCGCTGTTCCAGTGTTTTTTCCGATGGCCGTCGCTTCCGAGTAAAACTCAGCAACTGTGCTTGGAGGGTTGCGGACGAGAACGGCGAACAGCTCTTGCTTCACTCCGCGCATTAGATGGCACCCCTTCTTATCCTCAGCCATGTTGTAATCCGCTCGCTTGAACAGACGGACCATGTCCTCAATGTACATAGCAGCACTCTCGTTCGTGAGCTGGTTCCTCGATTGAAGAGCAGCCTCCGTTTTTTCTTTCCGGTCTATGTTCGCGAACGTAGCCACCGCTTGTCGACGAAATACCTCTCAGGTAGACAACGAGGTTTGATGGTTCTCAAACCATGTCTTTGCGAAGTCTTCCAGGGCAAAGTATACACGACAGAGTTTCTCTCTTTCGTCTCATTTATTCAAGCTCGCCACTCGCTCGAACAGGTCCAACCAATCTTCAACATCCTCGTACGAGTCGCCGTGGAATTTTGGCGGCTGGTGCGGTTGGCTAATGAACACTTGTGTTGGTGTTACCTGGCTAGTCACAGTGGTGGCATCCATCGTTTGAATTCCCCTTGGTGTGAAGTGAAGAGGACCGAACTCAGGTGAGTCACCTCGAAGACGGCGACTTGCCCTCTGGTGTACAGGAGTCACTTCCACGGGGTTGATACGCTGGTCGTCGGGGCTACGCTGTCTTGAGCTCGCGGGGCTTCGATTCATAACCTAGCGCCTCCACCAGAAATGTAGCGATGCTGAGGCAGACAGGTTAAGAAAATAAGCGTCTTTATTAGGGCAAACTTGTGCCCACGATTCTAAAGACTATGGTCGTCAAGTCTGAGTAGCCGAGTGGCACAGATACAACTATTTTCCTCTTCCTCGTTGCCGGAGCGCACGAACGCGTGGTGCATGCCAGCCTAGCCGGGTCTTGCTGGTGCTGGTGCCACGATGATTGTGGCGGGCTACTTGAACGTGGCGAACCTGTCGCAGCACTATCGTCTTTAAAATGAACTTGACCTGATGTGATTTGCAGAAAGCATGCAAGGACAGATACTTGGGTGGCTCAAAGTAAACATGCCTATTCATTTTATTTGTGTCTTGATTCAGTGGTCACGAACAGCGTAAATTTTTCAATCGCAATCAACAACGCCAATGCTGGCATTTCTGCAAAAGTAGCTCTTAAACGCTGTCGCTTTAAAATTTGAAACCGACGAGTACGCACCGGAACGAACGAAACACATTCACTTGAACGCAAACGGCGATTTGGGGCAGAGTTGCTTTGAACGAGAGCGTGGTGAAGGCAGCGTGGGTGTTTTTCCTTCTCCGCTAGCGGAGTTTCAAGATGGAGGGCGCTTTGCTGCTGCGCCTGATTTCGTGACGTTTTCAGGACGCCCGAGCGAGCCCAGTTTTGGCTCCTCAAGTATTCTTGCTCTGTGGGTGCTACATTTTGTGTGTTGTCTTTGTGTGTTATATTGGCATCCTGGTACCACTTGTTATATAATCGTTATTCGTGAGATTTGGCGGGCAGGCTTAGAGTTGCCTGAAGGTTGCCAATAAATGTCTGCGCTTTTATTACACTATGGTGGGAACTGTCCTTTTGTTCCATGTGTGGCTCCCTTTGGGGTCTCTACAGAGTATGTGTGCTGCCCTCTGAGCATTGTGTGTGGCATGCAGGCTCGGACTTGGACGGGGACGAGTACGTTGTCATTTGGGAGGAGTGCCTCTTCTTCCCAGGGTCAAACAGAACGCCCATGAACTTCTCGGATCGCAACCCCGAGCCACACGGGAAGCCAATCACAGTAAGCCTTAATCGCAATTGACTTTAGTTTTGATTACTTATATGACAGAGTTGTGACGTTTCAGGCTGCACATGTTTTGTCAACTGCTCTGTGATGTGAATGAGACTCTAACCAAAGCCCCTATTCATGTTCGACAGGCCCACTTTTGTACTCTCGCCCTAAAATGTTATGTATTATTCACTTGGCACTTTCACAGAACTGAAGGTTTGACTTAGAGCTCACGACCAGTAAAACACTGCACCAAATACACTGCAAGCTTGAGTCTTTGCTCTGACTTGAATTTTTTTCTCACTTTAGTGAAGTACCGTATTTTTCGGTGTATAAGTCGCGTTTTTTTTCTGAATTTTTCGTGTGTGCGTCTTATACAACGATGCGACTTATATACATTCAAAATCGAGTTGGATGCCACGGCTTGGGTGGCGCTCTTTACGTCAAGCAGAGGTTATCTGATTGGTGGCTAAAGTCAAGGCACGAGTGAAAATTAAACCCTTCACTGTGAAGTACGAATCCTCAACTTCATTATTTAAAGAAAAAAAAAGAGATAAATGTAATGATTAGTTCACTAAGTATTACGGCTAGGTGGCGTTAGCCGCCGCCCAATCTAAAGGGTACAGCCACATCCATTCATCCATCCATCCATCAAAATGGCGTCTACGGCGCTTCACCGCTACCTTTTTCCTTCCTCCGCGGCCTTCTGCGATGCACAGAAACCACATTTAAAAAGAAAGTAAGATTAACGGTAAGTTAACACGCTAAAGGTAACGCAGCTATGTAGTTTTGCACAAAAAAATAATCAGAGGGGTGAAAATGTGGAGGTATTTTTTAAATTATAAATTATGAAAAGCAAGTTTTGATTTCAGAGCCACTTCTTTTACCGTCACTTCCGTCCGCCATAACGTCTTCATTGCACTCGCTGTGTCGCTGTTGCTGCGCGCGTCTCATGTGTTGTGTTGTGCGTCGTAGCATAGAGCCGGTAGCGCCGTAGAACCTCGCGAACCATGGCGCCGCTTGGAAAGCAAAGTCGGCGAAGCTATGACGCCAAGTTCAAGCTGCGCGCTGTTGAATTTGCCGAAAACCACGGGAACAGAGAAGCAGGGAGGCAATTCGACGTCAGTGAAAAAATAATCCGTGACTGGCGCAAGGCCCACAGCGTCCTCCGGACGATGAAGTCGACAAAGAAGGCCAACCGCGGCAAAAAGGCGCGGTGGCCGGACCTCGAGCGTAGCCTGCGCACGTGGGTACTGCAACAACGAGCCAAAGGAAGAGGGCTGTCAACAGTGCAGCTGCGCCTGAAGGCGAAGGCTCTGGCAGCGGAGAGCAATGTTACGGGATTCAATGGTGGTCCGTCGTGGTGTTTCCGCTTTATGCGACGGAATCAGCTGGTTATGAGAGCCCGGACGACAGTGTGCCAGAAGCTGCCCGACGACTTTCAGGCGCAACTGGACAACTTCAGCTCATTCGTGAGGGAGGAAGGTGCGAAGAAGAATGTCAGCGCGAGCCACATCGTTAACATGGATGAAGTGCCGCTGACATTCGACATCCCGCTTGGGAGAAGCATCGCCGAAAAAGGCCAGAAAACTGTCACGGTGAAGACAACAGGCCATGAGAAGTCCCACTTCACCGTTGTGCTCGCCTGCTGCGCGGACGGCACGAAGCTGCCTCCCATGCTAATATTTAAGCGGAAAACCTTGCCGAAGGATAATTTCCCTCCTACAGTGGTGATTCAGGCGAACACAAAAGGTTGGATGGACGAGGGAATGATGAGTGTGTGGCTTGACCGCTGTTTTTCCCGTCGACCAGACGGATTCTTCCACGTGAAGCCAGGAATGCTGGTAATGGACAGTATGCGGGCACACATCACCGATATTGTCAAGAAAAAGATCAGTTCAAAGAACTGTATGCCAGTGATTATTCCCGGCGGCATGACGAAGATGCTTCAGCCGCTTGACATTTCTGTCAACCGCTGCTTCAAGGCAGTTCTGCGACGTTCGTGGGAAACGTGGATGTCGGAGGGAGAACACAGCTTTACAAAAACGGGGCGCATGAGACGCGCAGAGTTCGGCGAAGTGGCGAAATGGGTGAGTGACGCTTGGGAGTGAATTTCTGCCAAGACCATTGTGGCGGGCTTTCGCAAGGCCGGTTTGATCCCCTGCGCGGCCGATGGCGACGTTGAAGAATCCGATTCGAGCGAGTCGGAGGACGACAGTGATGTGCCAGCAGTACTGCAACCAGAAGTAGCTGCATTGTTCGTGAGCGACTCGGAGGAAGACGACTTCGATGGCTTTGAATAAACGTCACCAAGCTATCGGAATAATAAAGGTACTTCTGAAAGTATTGTTTTTATGTGTGTTTAAAAGCGCTCGCACGCGTGACTGCCGATAGCTAGAAGCGTGCAAAAGCGTTGGCCGTCGCAAGCATGCATTTTTGCAATGCATTGTCATGACGAGATACTTAAATGTCGGTGGTCGGATGAGCAAGTGGGTCTTCTACACCGGTGCGACTTGTATACGTTTTTTTTCAGAAAAACTGCTATTTTGAGGGGAGTGCGACTTATACAAGGGTGCGACTTATAAACCGGAAAATACGGTACCCTTTTGCGGTAGCAAAGGTATCACTCTTAACACGAAAATACGCTCGGTAAGTGGCAAAATGTGCCAAAAAAAAAAAATCTAGCAGGCAATGCCTCATTAAACGTTGTGCACCAATAGCTGTGACATCATAAATCAAGGCTGTCTACTCGTCTTGCATAGTTCTCAATTGATAGAAAAGTGTTTAGTGTCCTCTAAGGCTTCTAGACACCTAAATTATCAAGTTGAAACATCATCTTGACATCCAGTTGTGTCATCACTCAAATTTTCACTTCTTGTGACATAACAGAGCAACTGAGGGCGATGACAACCTAAAGCTTATTGAAATGCAATTTTTATGGATTAAAAACAGTCTGAAGCATTGCGATAAAAACAGTGTACGAAGCAATTAATTCTCATACATTTCACTGCATGAGGATGCACTGAAATGTCCATTATATATTGTATTTGGGCTGTGTTAATACATAAGATATACAGGTAATATTATTAACAGTGCAAAAAAATGAGACCAGAACTGTGGACCAAGTGCTGGGAGAAATAAACTTAAAGCTTGATATAATGGACCCCGACATAATGAAATATCGGTCATAACGAAGTAAATGAAAGATAGTCTTTCAATGGATATAGCGTTAGAAAGAAATCTTTTAACAAATTTTTGTATATAACAAACTCGTGTACGATGAAACTTTGTTATATTGAGGTGTAAGTGTAGTAAATTTCAGGCTAGAAATAGTGATTTGGTTGAATGATTTCAAAGCAAATTTGAATAGTATATTTTATATATTATGAAAGAAAAGGAACATATTTCTCATGGCTTAACCTGCACAATACTTAAAATAGAACCAAGGCATGCACATAGGTCACTCTTTCTGGTTCATAGGCAAGTGGAAGCAACACTAAATAGTAGCAGGATTTGATTTTCAGTAATATGCAACTGATCACTTGTAAAACACGTTAACGTTTTATAACTGACTATACTCGGAGTCGAGCCCGCCCTGGCTCGTTTCAGTAAGTTTAAAGTTAAGAAATGATGAATAGATGTGAGGGTGTTATGTTCTTCAACCTTGTAGTGGGGCTTCGAAACAGTGTGGATTTCTCCCGGATAGGTGTATTCATGGTGTAGCATCTCTACTGCAGTAAAACCACATTTCCAAGAGGTTACGTGTGGTTTATAAGTCTGTTAGCTCATTTCGAATACCTTGAAGTTTATAATATTTTGAATAGGCTTAATTGAGCCCACAAATGGTTTTCAACACTCGTTCCTTTATGTTGTTCTTGCCTTGTAGTGTCTTCGCGCTATTTCCAGAAATGATATTGTACCAACAAGTTGAAACGTGTCCCATTTAAAGATGGAAATAATCAGTTTCAGCAGGGTATTTCTCAGTTGCTCTCCTGGGGATGTGATTGACTAGTCATCCACTGCATTTCCCAAGGACACAAGGCATGGACGTGCCCACAGTACGCTGACGCTTCTCACACAGAAGATACATGGGAGTCCCTTCTGCATATCACTGACTCGGCACAGCAACGCCGGGTAATCTCCCGTGCTAAAGAGTGCTTACCAGCGAAAACGACAGGGCAGAAGGGGACAGGAGAAGAGACAAGACAGAGCGCTGAACTGCCAACAATTTATTTCTTGCAAAGGTCTTCGCTTTCTCACGCGCATTGGAGGCCACGCGCATTGGAGGCCGGGGTGTCCTAAGGGATTTTTGCTTACCTCCTCTAAGCAGCGTAACTGACCTCTCGGCCGGTCCCCTCTTGTGGGAGTAATAAAGTTTTGATCACCAAGGAACCAATTCAGTTTGCTTTTACGTTTGCAGGTCTGCGACTTTGCAATATTGTTATTTGTGAACTAACGTATCCTATCCATACAAATTGTACTCATCACTTTGCACGATCAAATATTTATTCTCCTCAATTTCTTCTATTTTTTCACTCGTTGCTGAGGTCTGTAGCCTTGTTTGGCAAGGTGCCACTGAAAAATTTTAGTGCTTAATGTCATATACTATCTTGTTGCATCATATCAATTGGTGACAGCATCATTGTTCGATGTATTTTGCCAACTTCTTGCATGTATGCTGCTGCATGTCAATAATATTAACATGCAAGCATCACTGATACTCTGTCATAAGCGAGATGACACAATTGGCCTGTAATGTTGGATTTGGCAAAGTGCTTCGTGCTGTCGTTGTGATTTGAGTATTGCTTGTTTTGCTGTGCAGAAGTTCACCGCAACATAAAAACATGTGGGTACCTTTTTTTTCTTGTTCTTGTTTGAGCTGGCATGGTTAACCAACCGCTGCATGTTGCGACAGTTTCCATCACAAAGGCACGTTTCTTTTGCCTCTATTGCAGACCGATGACATGATTCAATTCATATGCAACTATATCAAGAATGATTCCATTGGTATCCTCTCCAACGCACACCTGGCCTGGGCTGACCAGGAGAAGGAAGGAATTTATTCACAGAAGTGCCTTGCCATCGCTGAAAAGATCAGCATCTGCCTCGACTTTGCAAAGAACGGCAAGACTGCCTACCTTCGACGAGACGAGCGGCCTATGCTGTACCCAGACTTCATGGAAAAAGGGAGCCACAAGACCACGTACCGGTCCGACAGGGCACTCGGCGTCTTGTACCGAACGTGCCGTTCCCTGGAGGCCGCCGTGGGCAGGTTGGGTCACCGGCACGTTGACCCTGGTCGGTGCCAGGCGCTTGCCATACCAGGTTGGGAAGAGTACCGAGAGTCGGCGGCGCAGGCTCTGACAGATTACAACACGAACCTTCGGCGAATACTGAACCAGTACGGCATCGGGTCCGAGGGTGAGGTTATGGCATGCATGGTGAACACGTTCGACGCCTATCACAGTGCCCAGTCAGACAAGCTCAACATGGAAGACCTCGTTGAGAAGATGGTCAAGTTTCTGACGGTCACCACACGTGACGTCTTCTACAACGACATCTTGAAAGAAATGCAGGAAAGCTGCATATCCGATCCAGAGGAATTGACCAAGAGGAAGCTTCGCAGGGCTTCAGCCTGGTACATGGTAACGTATGAGCAGAGAGAAGAGGACTCATTTTTTAGCTTTCCCTGGTGCATCGCGGATCTTCTCATCGAGATCTTGCGCAGCGCCGATGCTCAGGACAAGGTGTGGTGCCCGAACATTTTGTACTGGAAGATTGACCGCCTTGTCGAAGAGAACAGCAGCCTTGCGAAGAATGATGGTCTGGGTGCAAGTTGCGATTCCTTCAAGACAGCCTTTCAAATAATTAAGAAGTGGCTGAAAGAGGAGACGCTGCTTGGCGAGCACAAACCTGGCGCCCCATCCAAGCCCGGGCTGTGCTCCACCTGCCTGTTAGACATTTACAATGAGTTTGTGGAAAGTAGGAAATTTGCACCCTTGAGCAAGATTGTCACGAGGAGGCGGCATGCCATGATGATGTCGGAAACAGCAGCTTCTCAGGATGAGCCAAGTGCCGAGCCAACTGTGGAGGCATCAAAGAAACTGAGTGCAGCCAAATGCATTTCCCACAAGAAGGCTCCTACTGAAGCCTGGCAGATTATCGATGGGTTTGTGGAGCCCCTTTGTCTGGACGACTCTGACGAGACAGTGGACTCTGGATTGTCGGAGCAGAGTGGACAAGGTGAGTGCAACGAGCAGGACGTCAAAGAGGTCACTTGTTCCACGGCACTGCTCCTGCACGAGCCAAGGGACGGGTGCGATACTGAGCTGGACCATGGCAAGGACCAAAGTGTGGGCACTCTGGTGGTCTCGTTTCTGCGGTGGTGCCTGGAGCAGCACCGGCTGCCGCGGGAGATGTGTCGTGTGGGCGCCTGTGCGGGCGGTGGCTACGACTGCCAGACCCACAGGCTGCCGATGGTGGCGCTGCGGGCGTACAGTTCGCTGGCAGTTTCCCTCGACCCATGCCACATCTCGCTGCCCTGTGACCCTGCCTACCACGAACCTCATCAGGAAGTCTTCGAGCGGGATCCTGTCCGCATCTTGATAGCCAATCCAGTGATGGACCAGATGCTGAAGGAGAAGCTCAATGCCGTGAGATATATTTTGGCCATCTATCTGCGTGAGCGCGTTTAGGATGACGATTATCTCTACCAACTTTGGCCTCTTTCCTAACAGTATCAGAATGCCAACATATGGATAGATATTATGAACTGATCGTGAAGAGGCCGTAGTGGTGACATCGAGATAAGCCCCCAACTCTTCGCATTATGTAAATGTTTCATTCATTTTACCTTAATTTCATTCATTTACCTGAATTTAACCAAATTTTTAGCCATATCTTTAGCCAAAGCAAAGTGTGGTTAAATGGCAGTGATACAGTAATTTATAGCAAAAATACAGCAGAAAATTTGATATGGTAAACAAAGTGCAATGATACTCACAATTTTACTGTTTTTCTTCGTGGACACTATGGAACATCACCCCTGGTGTTAGAATCGAGTAAGTATGGTATATGCATGCTAACCTTAGGTACTTGAAACAAATGCAGAGCCCCTTGTACTGACTTATCTCGTAATCACTGTGCTGTTTTCAGATATTATCAGATGCTTGTTCTCTAATATTCTGCATATGCCAATGTGGCTGAGACTCATACTTGTGCACATGACAAACGATAAGTAACCAATTACTATTACAGTTACTTTTTATAAATATGATTGATTACAGTGGTCAATTACAGCCACTTCAAAGCAATTACAGGAATTTAACATATCAAATTTAAGTTGCTTTCCTTCAAAGTTTCATTGCCGTAACGCAACAACTCAAATTTACTCTAACTACGATTAGCTACAATGGTATAGAGAAGGCTGTAGGCCCATGTGAATGCTGGGAGGCTTTTCCTAGGTCATGTCCCTTAAGGGGGGTGGGGAGAAGGGGTGTCAATACATCACTACTGAGTCCCTACAGATCAGTCTCGTATTCCTTGGGATGAGAACGGCCCTAGACATCTGGATAAAGCTCGATTTTGTAAAAAGAGGGTAATCAATTACATGAAAAGCTAATTAAAGTATTCTGAAGGTTAATTTCGAAATTACAACAAAATGTAGTCAATTACTAGTGATCCATTACTTGTACTGCATTCCATAGCTTTTTCTTCTTAGTCGCAGAGCTTACCTGTAGGACAGTTGTCTCGGAGTATTTTTTTTGGGTTGGGAGGGGGGAATGCATTTTAATAAAAGCTTGCTCTGTTTCTGGTGAAAGTGATCTGCGAAACACTCATAAGAAAAAGCACACAAGTTTCTTGCGGTGATCTTTCTGCTTTCGAGAGCATTGCTCTGGCCAACAGCGCTCTAAACGCGTGGGTATGTCTATAAAATATGTCCCCATCAGCATGCCATGTAACTCTTTCTGTTGCAATAGGTAGGGAACGACCGACTTATCACGCCTGGAATGCTCGCTTGCTTGAGCGTGCAACGGTCAGTTATTTGGAGTCTGTTTTGTAGCGCTCAGCTGCAGTTTCGGTTTCATAGAGCACCAAGTGAGGTAAGAGCCAGAGTAGTTTTTGGTTAAATATAGCTGGCTATGTGAACACACAGACGGCACGTACATGAGCACCGTGTTGACAACTTTCTACATGGAAAACTTCCTGGGTGCTACTATAATCCCCTCTGAGGTGGCATAGATATGCATGGCCTACGAGAAATGCACTGCCAAGGCAAGCTTGAAACGTACTTGTAGGCTAGATGACAAATTTTTATGGCATATGGCAGCGCACACCAGGGCAAGGCCATCTGTTTTTGTACTCTTCTCATGCAAGTCTGTTCCCCTTTTCCCTTTAAAACGGTCTGCTAGAAGGGAGTGCTCACAAGGATTGTGGCAATCAACAAAACTCGTGATACGAGGAGTGTTTGGTTGTTTACACAAAAGCCAAAGGTGCGTTTCATTCGCAGCGGCATGGCACGCTCTTTAAACTTGATTTTAAGTATGGTGTGGGCATATTAGTCATCGATATTTTGTAGATGCGTGCGTGTCCGCGCAAGTTCATCCCGAATGTTAAGGGGACACCAAAGTCAAATAACAATTTACGTCAGAGTGACAGCTCTATGTATGACATCTAAAATGACAATATTATCAACAACATAGCTCTAATTACCTAGAAATTAAGGTAAATGCACAAGAACTTATGCGCCTCAGTTGGGCATTTTCAAAATGATCCCGATGACATCAGACGAACCACCTACAATTAATCGCTAGTATTCGATCTAGCTGCACTAAATAAAAAACTTTCCGTGAATCAAAAGACACATTGAAATGCTGCTTATTCATTTCTGTTTGATTCGTGAAAAAAAGAACCGCCGGGCGTTACTATGGGGAATGACACGAGAGGTTCGAAAATTCGGTTTTCGCGTAGGTACACTGGACAGGTGGTGCCATCCAGCGGGGCGCAGTTGAACTGAAAAATGTCTGCAATCTTGGAGCCAAGGGTGGGAAATTGATCAATGGTTGTTGTTGCTGCTGTGGCTCCCACTGCTTTCAGTCTGCTGCTACTAGCGCAGTAAATCCGGGCAACGTTGTGCATGGCAACAGTGACGTGAGTGATGAGTTGGTCCGGTCGGTCCGCTTCTTGAGGCAGGTAATTTGAAGTGCGCTAACCTGACGTGCACCACTAAAACGTGTTTTTACATCAAAATAAGCCTTTCATTGGCACAAAAGTAACAATAAGAGGTTTCTGGACCGCTATTTCAACAATCAACGTCGACTTAACAGTTGCCTTTAGTGTCCCTTTAACTTCTCCTTCACTGTACAAACTGAACAGTGACATATGTCGATAGGGACATTTCTGGAGTCTTTTCGAGTGCTTCAAGTTAGCATGCATATGCCGTATCAACTCGTAATGTAACTTTGCCAAGCCATCCTTGATTGCATAAGCTTTCAATGTGATGATGTGCTGACAAAGGGCCAAGATTAGACAAGGAAGGTTCGATAAAAGCGAAATATGTCATATCCACGGTATAAATAGCATGGCTTTACGTGCTGTATTGTGAAAATTCCTTTCTGTAATTGCTGTTGAATAAAACCAGAAGATGTTGATGCCATTGTTTAGTACACTACAACAGTGATAGTGATAAATGAAGCTATCATCATTGCAATGTGTATGGGGAGCTAAAACATTGCTGAAACGTGTGTCCAGGTAACACGGCAACATAGTAACATTAAAAAATAGGAGGTAAACTAAAGACATCTTATAGTTGTTATTTGATGCTAGCTGTGACAAAAAACATATTACTAGTGGTGCGGACTAATACTCCTGGGACTACATGTACAGAAATTCTACCCTGTAAAAGAGACAAGAGAATAGCCGCAGTTGTAGCCTGCGACTATAAATTTGAAGGTTGTGAGTTCGATACCCATTGGTGGCAAGCTTTTTTGTCCATAATTTATGTTTCTTTGTGTCGTAATTGCTGCACTTTAATTAAAAAGTACAAATAATGCTAAGGCAGCATATTTGGTGCACTGTGCCAAACACTTTTTAACGCGATAGTGTTAGAGAGCTCGTGTCGCAGAAAACCCGCTGTCGGCGTCGGCCCCGTTGGTTGTGACCAAAATAGTCTCTGTGTCTATGACCGAAAAATCAGGTTATCAAGATCGCCCCAGGAGGCCGCTACTTGTCCATGCATGCGTGCGCGGTCACACTGAAAAAGCTGCGCATTCGAAGGAAAAAATAAAGTGCTCAAGGTCACGAGGCGTGGTAGTTTCTCGGCCCTTGCCACCCCTCCCTGCTTAGTTTCTAGCACTTTTGTCGGGACGAGAGAAGAGTTAATGTAATTGCAGCATGCGACAAAGCTTCGTAGTTACACTCGCACTGGATGGATTCTTAAAATTTTTGCGGCATTGAATTTGTGAGGCAATAAGCTCTTCTAGTGAATTCATTCCATGATTACTTGAAGTGTTTCAAGGCCTTTTTAATGCGTTTCGTTTGACAGGTGTCACAACGAAAACGAGCCAATTTAGTGATTTGTAGGCGCATTTGGGGAGCCTTGAACTACGTCGAAAAAGGCCGGGATAGTGCAGCCATTGCCATTAAAAACACACAAACTTTCGAACAGCTCTAAAAATGGACAACTATGTCTATCTAGTGGAAAACATATCATGCCTTTCCAGAGACGTTGATCAAGCAAACCGCAAATGCTAGATAATGTGCTGCAATCTGTGAGGCATTCTGAGACTCTTTATGGCGTCCGAAATGGCGATCGCAGGGCGTGTATCTTGGAGGCCATGCGACTCTTGCTTTAGATCAAAAACCTGTGTGTGCCATTCGTGCTAACACAACATATTAATAAGTATGCACTTAGCGATTCAAGGGCGCACTAGGGGCCGGATTTCGCTATTGCGTTCAACTCTTAAAAGGCGAAGCTTAAGGTTCCTTGAATTTTTTTCTTTGGCTTAATATGTTTGGTTCAGTAGATTTTATGGAATGTGACTGCACTAAATCCTCAATATAATGAACATAAATATGATGAAATATTGGTTATAACAAAGTAAATGAAAAAGTCTTACAGCAGTATTAAAAATAACCTTTATAAAGAATTTTTCTATATAACAAACTGATTTACTCTTAAGATGCAATTTCGTGATGAGATTTGTGAGTGTATAGTGGCACCAGTTGATTTAGCGTCCGACACAAGCATCTGTTGTGTGCATTTACTTTGGGCATCTATTCATTTTTAACGATTCTCCCATTAAAATTTTTTTTTGCCTCCAGGTGCGACAGCTCCTTATGCGCTGGACAGGCGTACAGGATGTGCAAATCCAGCATCTGGACGATTTTGATGACGCCTACATCGTGGTGACCGCGACTGGCAGAGACTGGCAGATCTGGTTCCTGGAGGAGCTGCTCCTCCAGCGATGGCTGCCGCAGGCGATCGACTGTGGGGACATCCTCAAGTTTCTAAAGGAGAATCCGCAGGCTCGCCAGGCAAAGCTGGGCGCCCGAAACTTGGCATCTGGCAAGCGCTAGCGATTGCTGTATCTGACATTTTCGTGACGCGGCTCGATAGCGATCTCGTCATAGGCACAGACTTGAAGGTGTTGACGAGGTTGCAAATTGCCGCGCAGACCCTGAGTGCCTGTGTACAAGTGTACAGACACTTTATACTTACTAAAAATGTACAATTTGTACAGTATTTACCCTTGTGATATTTTAAAACTGTTTGTCTACATTCTGGCAGACATGTTTCATTGTGGGCATGCGCAATTGCTGGGCAGCGTGCTTTGAGTTTAGTGGCAATTTTATGCTTTGCTGAATTTGTGTTCTTTCACGTTAGTTTATAATACTGTACATGCTGAAGGCATTTACAATAGTAGATTTTGTCCATCAGGTCGTTTCTTCAATGGGGTTGTGCATGTGTGTGGCATATTGAAAATAAATTGCCCTGTTCGAATGTTTAGCAGGCCTTCACATTCACACGTGTTTACTCCACAACCAGACTTGCTGCAACCACTGGCATTCGAGGCAGCATGCTGTGGAATGTTTTGTTGCCTGTGTGAAACGTGATGAAAGTGGAAGCTCTTGACAAGCAGACTCTGTGCATTTCTTTGCACTCGGGTGTTTTGTTAATTATTACTTTGCTTATGCTTACTACTTAGTTACTGCTAGATGATACTTAATGATTTTGTTTGGTATCTGATCGCTTTTTTTGCTCACTACAATCTTTTAATATCTTAACCATCTTTACTTTTTAATGCATAGAAAACTTTTTGTTTACTTGACGACACATCATTGTGATATGGTGTATGTTTTTGTGAACACAAAGCTCCTTGACCGTTTCTATCTATCTAGCCCCTTACATCTGGGTGCCCTAGTCCTCTTGTTGGAGATGCTACTTGAAGAATTATTTTTTATTACGGCCTTTAGTCAAATACAACTTGAGTAGTCTGCAGAGGCCCCGCCCAGGTGGCCAAAGCGCGTGGCAAGTGAAGAAATAGTCTCGCTCCCCGACATAATGATCTTCAAAGGCAATGTCACCGGCCGTTCTACTGAACATGTTCATAGTACAAGCTCATTAGCGTTGGCTTGTGTGCATCCGCCTTTATAAGAGGCCCTGCAACACTTTTTGAGCTTTGTCAGAAAGCCTTGCCGATCTGTATTTGAGGCTCCCGAGAACATACGTGCCAAATATTACAGCACAACACGCGGTTTGGAACTTAGACTGAGCTAACAATCGCTTTCTCTTCTCTAGAAAAATGATGCTACAAGCTCGAAAATTGCTGCGTCATGGGCCAAGTATCAGCTGTTGGCTGATTTAAGCATTACACGTTCTGTCACTACTAGGGCCACCACGGGACGCCGCGACTTGTCCAAGTGTTGGTGTGAAATTGCGCTGAAAAGTTGCGCATTAAAAAAAGAAGTGCTCAAGGTCACGAGGCATGTGCGACTTATTTTTTTACCCGTGCCATCTCTCCCTACTTAGCTTCCAGTAGTACTTTAGTTGGGACGAGCGTAAGGAGAATGCAATTGCTGCATGCAACAAATTTTCGTAATTCCGCTCGTACTGAAAGGATTCTAAAAATTTTTGGGGAGGGGAATTCGGGAGGCAATGAGCTGCTTTAGTGAACCCATTCTATGGTTACCTGGAAAAGTGTTGTAGCGAATTTCTGAAGTTGTATCGGACTATAGGGACATACAATTTTTGTTCTTATGCCAAATTTCAAATATCTAATCAACTTTGTAGCAAGTTGCACACCTATTGTTCTGTTTTATGAACGAGCAAACTGTAGCTATTTTTGCGTAGACTTTTTTTGCCCCTTTACTTCCATACTTATTAGTCAACTTGTATTCCTTTGAGTAACCTATAGAATGCTAGATTGATAGCGTCATCCTGGTAAGGTTTTTTTTTTGTTTTTTTTAAGCGCTTATTACTGTTCTGTTGTGTGCAGTAGCTCATATGTATACTTTTTATTATCAGTCTTTCTTTTACAGGTGCATTTTTTTTTTTTGTAAATTGACACTATTTGCACTTTTGTATGTTTCAGTATTGCCTCGTCGTTTCTATTTTTCTTGTTTGTAGCGTTCCCATGTTTTTCGAATACAATATCGTTTCTTTGTTTAGTTGTTAGCGTGCATATATTTTTTACTTGCATATTTTTGTTATCGCAATAGAATTGCGATACTTCGGTGTGTTGTGTTTATTACTGTAAATTTCTACAGCATGCATATCTGCCGTCTGCTGCTGACGTTTGAATTGGGCTGACGGGCCTGTCAAGCTGCTTGTATGCAGCTTTTGTCGTCAGCCTTTCAATGTATTCACGATAAATAAAGAATACCTCACCTCAAAAAAAAAAAAAATGCCGAAAACTTGCTAGGAGACCATAGTGATTGCTTACACACTCTTCACATGTGAAATATGTGCGAAAAACTTTGTAGAGCAGAGGCGATCATATTTCATTTCATTTTATTACCTTAAAGACCCCGTTTGGGGTATTACACAAGGGATGGTTTACATATTGGAACAATGAATGCAGGTGTTATGGTGTGATACAGGTTTGCAACGTGTCCAGAAATTTGGAATGAGTTGGTACAGCAGCAGCATGGTGAGGCAGGTCATTCTAGTCTCTAACAGCCCGAGGAAAAAATGAAGCTTGAAATGTGACGGTGCGTGTTTGAGGACGGGTTACTTGCAGTTGATGGCCAGTGCGATGAGACGTGTGGGATGATGATGGCGAGATGTAAGGTGGGCGGTTTAGCGAGCTGTAAAAGAATTTGTGAAAAAGAGAAAGCGTGGCAATACGACGACGAAAAGTGAGGGATGATAAGTTTGATTCTGCTTTTAAGAGGGAAATGCTGACGCGATATGAATATGAAGAACGGATGAATCTTGTGGCACGATTCTGTACTGATTCAAGTGCACTGATGATTAAAGTTTGATTCTGCTTTTAAGAGATAAATGCTGACGCCATATGAATATGAAGAACGGATGAATCTTGTGGCATGATTCTGTATTGATTCAAGTGCACTGATGATATATGCTTGGTGAGGGTTCCAGATGGCAGCAGCATATTCTAGTTGTGGTCTGATAAATTATTTGTACGCGAAAAGTTTGACTTGTTGCGGCGCGTGACGGAGGTGACATTTCAAAAACCCTAATGTCTTGTTTGCTGATGAAATGACGTTAGTCGCATGTGGAATCCCGGAAAGGTCGTGGGATAGAGTTACACCTAAATACTTATATGTTGTAACTGATTCAACGGGGATGTTTGCGATCGTGTAAGTAGAAAGGAATGAATTGTGCCTTCGGGAAACTGAAACAAATTTACAGTTTTTGGCGCTCAGAGCCATTTGCCATCGATTGCACCAGTTGTGTACGTTATCAGCTGATGAGGAAATGGCTGCAATTCCAAGGGAACTTGTCATGTTTTTTTTAACGTTCTGTGGCTATGTCTGCACTGCAAGGAACCCTTAGTACAAGTGTCTCCAGTCGTACGTGCTATTTTTGTGACATGGGACATCCCTTCTAAACGAAAGTTTAACCTAATCCTTAACAAGTTTCTATAAAAGTGATATCTGTGCTTTCACACATGTCAGTGATCTACCTTTTATAGATGCCAGTACAGTTGATGTACCTGGTAAGTCTGACAGACACATTACAATGAAGGCAGAAATGCTGTAGGGTGTGCACGTTAAAGTACCCCAGGTGGTCGAAATTTCCAAAGCCCCTTCATAATATTGCTGTTCTGAGACCCCAAAATTTATTAGGTGCTCGGTAGGCCCACAGGATGCTCATAACTAGTTACACAAACATGTCTATCCATCTAGTAACAATTGGCCCACAGTGCAGCATAGGCAGCTACTCGCTCACTACTTTGCATGTAATCAGTGCGCGAGGTCTTCCAGAATATGCTTGACGTTGTTCTGTTGTGATATTTTATGAAAAGTACCTGAGGCCACATTTTCGCAGTGATGGTTTCTGTGATGTAGTTTTTTTTTCTTGCTCTGTCATTGAATAGAGCTATGCTTCGTCCATGTCATTAATGGAGTCTGCTGGCGACTCTAATAAGCTTAAGCAAAAGAGTCCGTAGAAAAACTTTGCCTGTAGGGGTGTTTTTCCATGCTATTTTTGTACCTGTATGTAGATGAGCTTGCATGTATCTCGTTGAACTTGTCATATTCTGCTGTGCTACTGTGCCATTTCATCTTGCGAAATGCTTATTCGGGTTTATGTACTGCTGTTTCTAGTCGGTGCTTTCAGTGTTGTTGGGGGTGTGATAGTGAACAATATCTGTGAGATCCACCCTGTTATGTGCAATAGAACAATAGAAATATTAATTCATATTATGGATCAGATGTCTCACGATGCAAATTCGTTGGAAATTACTTGGGTTGTTGTGTGGAAAGCACAAATTTATACCCCGGGGGCTACCGCCTTCAGAGGTAGAATCTGAGTGACCCTTCATAGTCACCTGAATACAATACATGGTGTACCTTTCATGGGAGAACTTGTCAATGCTATGATGGGAACATCTTTTAGCCCCCTTTATAACTGATGCAACGACTTGGATTGGAACATGGTGTCACTAGCTGCTGTAAGGGTGTTAAAAGTGAAGTTTTTGTAGCCCTGAACAGTTAAATTATGTTGTGAACTTTAGGAAAAAACTTCTTATAAGTAGAGCTGTGCAAAGAGCAAAATTTTGGATGCAAAGCAAGTTCGAATATTGAAGTGAGAGTGCTAATCTAATGTAATATTTTTTAAATATTTCTAGAATATTTTTTGAATATTTTTACAGTAGTCTCAAACAGTCGTAGAAAAAAAGTTGGAGAGGGCCCTTCCACGGTGGTCTAGTGTTTAAGATACTCGGCCGCTCACCTGCAGGTCTCAGGATTGAATCACGGCTGCATTTCCGATGGAGGCGGCAATGTTGTAGGCCCGTGTGCTCAGATATGGGTGCACGTTAATGAACCCCAGGTGGTCGAAGTTTTTGGAGTCCTCCGCAACGGTGTCTCTTGTAATTGTATGGTGGTTTCGAGATGTTAAACCCCACATATCAATCAATCCATGTCAGAACCAGTGTTTTTTTTTTTTTTAGTCTAAATTTGCGATCGCAGCAGAGCCTAAAAGATAGCTTTGCTGCAACACCTATTGTGAGGTGAAGCAAATTGAAAATTTGGAGGAGCCATTGTCAAACTTTGACTGTATTTTTGTTTGGGAAGGTCAAATTGTAAAATTCCTGTGCTGATAGAGTCGCAATCACTATTAGAAAAATATTAGAAGATAAGAATAGTCGCACATCTCTACGTAATAGTTTGCCGTTTAAAAAATGTGAACATTTTACGCTTGCATTGGGATATCTCTTGACCAAACCCGTACGAAATTGTCACTTCAATTAAACAAGCCTCTAACATTGAATTTCACAACTTTTTGTGATGGAGTGCCTGTAGCAGGCTCAATGTTTTTCTGAAAAGATTGTGTGAAATAGTGAAATAGCTAGTGCATTCTTGCAACACCTGCCTGCAACCCAGACAGCGTTTTTATAAATGCTAACATATTTATTTAAATATGTTAGCATATGTTAATATGCTAACATATTATTTAAATGCATAACTGTGTCAGCCATCAATCACACTACACCCTTATCGATCGATGAGGGCACCGCTCTAGTACACCAGTTAGGAGTTGGTGATACCAAGGTTTGTTTTTCTAATGTTGCTACAGTACAACCTTGAAACAAACTATTAACACCAGCAGCTGTCAACTAGCTTGTACATTCACTTTGAGCTAAACATCAGACAGATGACATCGGATCTTAGCACCAGACAGATGCACATCTTATTTGGAAAACAGAACACCCGTTAACCGAAACTTCCATAAGTTACCGGTATAGAGGCTATTGATGAATTGGTCATACAATTATTTCTCAGATTCCTTGAAGTTCCTATCATCGAGCAACTACTGTATTTGCGGATGTTAAAAAAAGATGAAATTCTGAACAGGTTGCCTTATATTGCAGTACTTTTCTAGTGAAATATGCAATGCACTTTTTGGGTGGAAAACCTTGGTGAAATAATAATGGTTTTTGCTATTTGTGTGTGCCAAAATAGGGAAATTTCCAAGTCATATGTGGCTGTTGGAGTATTTACAATAGTAGATGTGTGCAATAATGAGGAATATTAGTTATTTTCAAACATGCTATTTACATACATGTGTATTTATCTACAAGGCTCATGTTATAATTTGCATTTGTGCAATGCTCTTTGTGAATGGACCCTCGATCAAAACATGTAGTTGCTAAAATATGTCGAACAAGTTACTCTCCTGTGCCTTCCCTTGAGAACTGATGCCCACATGTAATAACCATTGTTGAGCAGTCCTCATTTTCGCTTCTGCTCTTTATACGATTTCCCTTCGAGACTCCAGTTAGGGCTATTCTTTGCACTTAAAAAAATTATAATTATTGTAATACAAAGTATTCAGGCTAAAATTGGATTAACTGCGATTTACATCGACTGCAAGTAGCAACTGTTTAACTTGTATTTTGGATGAAAGAACTTGAACATTCCTGTAGTTTCTTGGAAAGGTGTGCAATGCTTATGCAAATAAATGTCAGTTCAAAGCTCGGTCTTTATTTCATGCTGTATTGACGGGATGTTTGCGCATATACTTGCATCATGTGCAGTGGCATGATTTGATTACTCCGAGCAGTTGCACATACCATCTGTTATGCTTGATGCGTTCATTCCGTGAGCACTGCACATTAAACAGGTGTCATAACTAACAAAATATAGTATACTGACCCTCATATACTTTGCATTAAAAATTTAATACATTATACTTTGCACAAAATTATCACCACACATGACCATTTTAGCCTATGTTCTGAGATTGATAGTGCACTTCATTTATCATACGCAATTTAGCGAACTTGGGAGCAGTGAAAGTTA